CGTAAAATTCTCTTAAGCTATATGAAAAAAGCAGGATTAGACAATTTAGGATGTGGACGGTTCTTAATCTACAGGATCGACGAAACACATATTCTCATCAAGTTGACGACTTTGTATGGCGTTCATAATATTTCGTTGAGCGAAGTCTGACAACTCGCCTTTGAGCGCCCGAGTCCCGAATCGACCATTCGACTCATTGGGATGGAAACCATTCGAGGGATTTAGTAATACCGTTCTCTCTGAAATATGGGGATGAAAAATTTGTCTACCTAACAGATTTCCCTCCCCAGTGTAGGACTGTCCGGCGGAAAGTTAATACGTCTTAAAAGCTCGTCTTTGAGGCAGATATTACGGCTCTATCCGTTACGAATTCATCAGGGAATGGAAAATATGAGGACAACCGCGATGATCAATGTTGCTGTATTCGGGAAAACTATGCTATGTTAAAACGTTCTATGAACGTATGAGCGTTGCCATAATTTCTTCTAAAAATGCGAGTTTTATTTTCAGGAAATTTTGTGAAATTTTCATATGATAAGTTTCAGAGAATTCTATTCGGGATGTTTCCCCCTGTCTCTGGAAATTTTAAGGAATAATATCCATAATTTTTTTTCAAATTTTAACATTAGATCCGATCAAATTCGGCAAGGTTTGTATGCTCATACGGTGTTTTTCCTTAGTGCGGCAGAACGGAGCAGCTTGCAAGGGGGCACGGCACCTGAACTGTGTCATACTGTATGGGCGCATTTACGAAGATGATTAATTCTCATGAGGCTCCGGCATTTTAGGAAAACTTTTTTTTGTTTTTTTGGTGACATTTACCTTTATGGTCGTATAAATCTCATTGTACCTAATGGGAAGTTTTAGCGTACGAATATGTTCAGTGATGTATTTGTTACCATGATGGAAAAGAAAAGAAAAAAGAATGGTTTAAACTTGAAAAATTTGGAGAGGTCCATAATGGTCTCTACAAGTTTCAGCCGGTAATGAAAGACGAACAATTAATCATGACAATCTGTTTTACATTTCAGAACTTCAATCTGCCGCCAAAAATCTTAATATTTTTTCCAAATAAAGTAATAAAATAAATGAATAAAAATAGAAATGGCTGAAATTTGCATACTTTCACGGGCCCTGAAAGTCCTGTAACCTGATCCTCTCAGTTTTCCTTTAGTTTCTCCAGCCCTGTGGCTGGGTCATTACCAAATGACTGGATTTGAGCATTTTGTCTCAAAACCTCGTTTCTTTCATTTTATCATCCAGCCATCGCATATCCTATAACGACCAGACTTGCAACTGATGGCTCCATTGATTATAGCCAGCCAATCACGCGTAGTCTGGTTTACTCACCATTAGTGACGTCAGCATGTCTATATAAGCGTGGGCTGCCCATTTCTCGAGGTTCTTCCACCATAGAGCGGTGCACCATGTAAGCCTCATCAGTCATCAGCCCTTCAGGCATCTCATTGTGTGACCATCTTGTTGTTAAACTTATAATTCAAACACTTTTTACAACATATCGATTCTAGTTCAATCTAGTGTTCTTATTAGTTCTCCAACTTATATGCTCTTTCGACTCTTTAGTACCAACAATGACACCGTCATTCTTCTTGTTGCGATACATCCCCTACATCAGCATATGTTTTTTAAAATCCTCAACTGAAAATACGATTATGGCTAGATTTTACTAGATCAATTTTTTATTTATTGTGAGTGATTGAGGCAATTTTTTCACGTCATTTAGACATGAGAGTTTTACTTATTGATCTTAGGTTTCTGCAAAGTTTTTTTTTTTTTTTTTTTTTTTTTTTTTTTTTTTTTTAATGCAAACAAACCATATTTAGAATGTGTACGTGTAAGCGTATTCTGCTCTTTTTCAGAATAAGGCAAGTGACAAGATTTTTACTGTATATGAATTAGATATCATTAAGAGCTTTCCTCACTATTATGTGGGTAACGAATAAATGAAATAAAAAAAAAATGTCACAGGGAAATATAAAGCACCACCACTCGAGCTTTAAAGGCTTGAGGAAATTAATTAAAAGTTGAGACTATGCGATGAAAAATAGAGGAAATCTCAAGGGCTTACGAGTGTACAATAACTCAACACTCGACCTCTCTTTTTTCACAGCTCAGCACCTTGATTCCCTTAGGAAGAGAAACTGGATTATCACAGTAGTAGGACAATAGGACATGTTTGCAGTAACGTTAGGTTTTTTCCTAATTTTGAGTTACGGGCTCCGGACGTATACGTCTATCGCTTTAATTGGTAAGAAAGAGGCGTGCTAAGTAAAAGTACATCAATTAGTGTTTTCGGAGCACAACTTTTCATTTCACGCCCTAATACACCTTTTTATGCCAACAAAAAAAGCGAACGTCCTATTCAAAAATTGTGCGTCAGTTATGACATTTTCATAAAAGGAAGTTCAGTATTCAGTAAGGTTCACCGTTTATATAAAAAAATTTCACTTAAAGATACAAAGATGATAATAAATTATTCTAATAATTGTCATTAAGACTGCCGTTAAAATACAGACGAGGCAGCTCAATATGCTGCTGTAAAAAAATCGGCGGACAGGGAGGATTTGATATGAAAGACGATGATTTTAATTACCTGAGACCAAGCAATCGAATTTTTAATTTTTATCAAAACGCTGAAATGTTACGTGATGTTTGTTGCGCTGAAATAGCAATTTATGTCACTTTACCGATTTTCATACATTTTCCCTAAATTTTATTCCCTCATTATCCTTTTTGTCAGATTTCTATTCCAACAGTAAACTTTCTCCTATTGCATGTCCATCAAAGAATGATTCTGTGCTTTGAACGAGACTAACTTTTCATCAAACCCATGGTTAATTTTAGGCACATGACTCAGACTCAGTAATAGAGAGAGTTACTCCTCAAAGACAAATCAATTCCAAGTGCCAGGAACTTTAAAAACTCCAAAAGATAGTACATTATCTACTGGCTGGAGAATAGACATATTCAATTTATATTCCGTAGAGTCATCCCTGTTTCGTATTCGTTGTTTTGAAAATTGGAACTCTTCTGTAGATAAAGGTTCCAAATTAAAATCACTCGAGATGGGAAGATAACCCTCAGTTATACTTTTTGAGTTGATATTGATAGTTACATCATGGAATGTCGTTTTAACAGATGAGTCAATGTTGGGGATTAATCCACAAGACTCAATAGATTCATTCCTACACGCTGCTATACCACAAATAGCGATTGTTGCAGTTCCCTCGCCACCGAACGGTCTGTCGCCGAAAAATGAAAATAGCCTGTAGCGTGGTGCCCAGGTATCAAACTTTTTGTTGATACTCCATCGGACTGATGTAGAACTTTCGAAATTTGGTACAGAATAATTCAGCTCAGTTTTAAAAACTACCCCATCGATTTTTTCGTAAATTTGATCGGAAGGATACTCGAGGATTTTGGTGCTCATTTTTAACAAGCTATAGTCTCGACTGAATTGTAGTTTTTTCTGAGAGTAACTTTGATTTTTAGAATTAGAGGGTAAATCTCTTTTAACTGGGGGAGGGTAGCTACGTCTCAATGCTTTTGGAGACTCAGACCAGAATGGAACTTTTGCGAAATGAACTTGGGTACCGACTTCGTTCGGCGTAACGGCTACTCGAGCTCCGTTTTTTCCAGCATAAATTCCACTACCTCCGTGTCTTTTTGTATTTAAAGTTGAAGCTACCAGATTTACATCCATTGTGTAAGACCAACCGGCTTGAACGCCAACAGCTAAAATCATTGAAAAAACAAATTATTATCACTTTATATACTTTATTATAACGGGTTTAATAAAACTGATCGTAGCTTAATTTCCGGAGTTTGTTATTGTGGTAATTGCAGTTTGTTGGAAATTATCGTAAATCTAATCTCAAAGACTTAAACGGAAGATGCAAATGATTTAATGATAAAAAACTAAACAATCTGCTTTGGTTGCTTTGGTTCTTTTGCCTTTTATTCCGGGGCGAACTAAAGAAACATTAAAAAATCAGTTCAGTTTACAAGAGAAGGATCATTTCTTCTCTGATAATTTCTCCGAATGGCAATAAGCAGGGCCGGATTCACCTACTTATCGCCCATGGGCCGCCTGTATTTTGCCGCCCCCTTCTCATTCGTTTTGAAACTCGATAAAAACCATCAAGTGAACGTGCCAGCGGGGGAGGGGTGCATAAGACGCATTTACTCGTGTTGAACACATTTTTTGGGAAAGCCCTGCCAACACTACTAGCAAAAGTTCACGGAGCTTTGCGTGAAAGTTAAGTTTCGTAAACCTATCTCTGTGTGGACAAGGCCTTATGTTTGGCGCAAAGCGTGAAGTATTCAGACAGTCTTGTAGGCGCTATGCGTTTCACGCGGACCGCTGCTGAACGCACTGTGTTGGATGCAATGCGTGAAGTATTCACGCAGTCTTGTAGGCGCTATGCGTCTCACGCTGACCGCACTATGTTTGGCGCAATGCGTGAAGTATTCATGCATTCTTGTAGGCGCTATCCGTTTCACGCTGACCGCAATGACCGCACTGTGTTTGATGCAATGCGAGAAGTATTCGTGCAGTCTTGTAGGCGCTAATATGTGTTACATGCCGATCGCCGCGCCGAGGGCTTCTCCCTTTCATCTCAAGTCCTCGTTATCATTTCTCTCTAAGTCGCGCCCGTTCCAGGCCAAATTGCGTGTTTGATTTCCGACTTAACTCGACTAATTTATTGAAGGCACTGTCTCTTGTACCACTCAGATACGACAAAATTAGAAATTACTATACTCTCAGTGAATGAGAGATTTTGTCGCCTTTTCTCGTTTGTAATTTTTTTTTATACCTACACTTAAAAAAATTGCAAATTTTTGCCGCCCCTTACATTTGACGCCATGGGCCGCGGCCCATGTGGCCACCCCCTTAATCCGGCCCTGGCAATGAGTGAGAACGAACCTGATGGTACGCAAAAAGAATTTTGCCAAAAATGTACCAAATTTACTTCTTTGGTACCACATCCCGATTAATGGTTACTATAGGGAGGGGTAAAATTTGTGCTTACCGTACAGGAATGGCAATTTTGAGTACCATGCAGACGTGAAGATAATATCCTTTACATGTGTTTCTTGTAACAATCGAATAGCAGGGTCCTCAAAAAGGATGTCAAAACAAATAAGCATACCGAAAGTAACACCAAAATCTGTTTTGAAAGTGCTAATTTCTGTTGGTCGTGGAGCGCTGAATTCAGGTTCACGAAACAAATGAGACTTGCGATACCTGTTCAAAGGTAGAAAAAGCTGTCGATAATGCATGAAGACTCGGAAGAAATTGTCGGTATAATTATCTAACAGCAAAGCTAATTTTTTCTCTTTTTTTATTTTATTTTACTTCTTCTCCGAAGCAATCTTTGAAACAATGATAATACTAATTTTAAATAGATCCTTTTCCATTCTGACTTTTGCCAGAAAAAAAATTGATTTTCTTCGAACTAAGCTGGTGAGGAACTACCTTTGAAGACACTGACTTCAAGTTCCGAGTTCGAACTCGACGGTGTATGCCAGAGAAAATGTTCAAAGACGTTAGATGTTAGTTCACGATTGGACTGTCGGTGAATTTAGGATGAGGTTTACCAATCGTCTCCACCTAGACAGAAGACAGAGTATTTTAACTTTTTTCTTGGACAGCCCATAAACTTAATTGGATGAAAATAGACTTAAAGAGGTGAACATAAAATTTATTTCATACCTTGCGATGATTAAACCCTGCCGATCAAAGACAACATTGGTATTGTAAAATAAGAATTCATCCACTGGACAGTCAGATTGCAGGGAGCAGTTAAATTTTTCAAGTAAGTTGATGACCACATAGATTTTGTTCAAGTGGGCCGCATGGGATATTCTTCGAAGAACCTGCACAGTTTTAATGATGTCATTGAAAATAGAATGCTGACTCCCAAAGTGAAATTCCTCTCCGACCTACCTAAAAATCGTATAATCCATAGATATTCTGCTAATTTGATCAATGGAATTTAGATGATTTCTAAGGAAAAAAATTACATTTTAGCTCATTTTCCGCCCCCTCTTTTTAAAAACTGTATGAATAAGGAATTGAAAGCAATATTCATGAAAAACTAAGATTTTATCAATCAACAAGCTATTTTATTTTGAGGGCATTGGCAAACAAAAAAAATTCTGGTATACTTTTATAGCCAAACAATGATAGCCAATGTTGCTCATTTTCCGACCCTGCACTCACGATTTTTGAAAAATTGAGCTTCCTCTAGAAGATTTTAACAGCGGGTTCGAAAATCGGACTTATTCGTCCTAGAAATTCATATTGATTTGGAGGGTAAATAATAGTGTTGGCGAAAAAGCGTATTCTCACCTCATGAGAAGCTCCACGCGGAAGTTTCCATGGCGTGACATGCTGATGTGGACTTGGAACATCAACCAAATTGGCACTGAGATACAACCGGCTTCTGTTGAAATAAATCCCTGTAAGTCCCGCTTCAGGGAAGACAATTATATCCACGTTCTGTGGAAGAAAAGAGGAATACTATCTTCAATTCTCCCCTCATATTTTTTTGACACGTTGTTTCTGGTTCATTAGATAAATAAAAAAATTATCAATCTTATGTAACAATTTTGATCAATTGTTATTAAATTGTATTAATCTTTCATGTGTGCTTACTACGGCATAGTGCCTGAGTGCCTATAACCCAGTCAAAAGAGGATGAGGAAACAGAAGAAAACATTTTTTCTATTCGCCTTCAACAGCCAATTCACAGTTACGAACCAGAGAATTGAAATCGTTGGTCTGAGAATTTTTGGATTTTTATTCGAATCAATCACTAAAATGTCTGCATTTGAAAACCAACAATTGAGGGAATTAAATTTTAAGTTTTCTGCTTGAAGTGAATTTCATGAGTCAAAAGTATCCATCCCTTCACTTGTGATGAGTGGTATTCATCAGGAAGTTTCGTCATTGTAAAGACACCACTTACCAGTCTGCTCGCATTTTTTATAAGAAGTTCGTATTCGTCCACATTCTTAAGCATTAAATCTCTGAGGGATATTCTGTCATCCTCTCCGACTGTATGGTATTCAACAACGGCCGCAAAGTACTCTTTTGGTCCTGAAATTTCTTCATCTATTCCAGAAAAAATCACCTGACGGGATAAGGTGAAAGTATTAAAATTTATCTGCAAATTGGCAATCAATCACGTCTTAAGAAGAATAAAAAATTTTCCCTTGCAATATCAATATAAGTTCGAAGTTTGATATTCTCATTCTGGTGACAAAAATTTACGTCCTCGCACTTTTTTGTAACAAAATTAGTAAAAATTACCTGAAGTTTACAAATACAGATAAGCAGTGTATTACTTTGACAAATTATTAGAGTCGATAAAATGCAATTTTTGTCAGCAATATAGTAAAGTAAATTTGTCTTTCATGATAATTTAAAATAAAAAAGTACGCAAAAATGTAGGTACTCAGGACGTAAAATTTACATGTTGTGTCACTGAGGTTCCAGATGTTTTCTTCGTAGTAATTTCAATTTTTGCTGACCATTTTATATTTTTTCGTGACTTCACGCGACGTGAATAAAATGATCTGAGTAATCCAAATCAGTTTAAAAAAGTACGATAAAAAATGAGGGTTTCACTGACTTACAATTGAGAGTGTAATCACAACAATTAAGGCAAGTATTGAAATGATACAAGGTCTTTTCATGTCTCTTGTCGATTTGTAGCATGGAAGGAACGTCATGGTTAAGTGAAAACAATAAATTAATAATAAAATGTTCTAAGTCAAAAATTTGAGCCCGTAAATCCTCGTATTAAGTCGCGAATGTATGATTGTAAATCAATGGAAGTGAACAGACTCACAGAACTTTCCGTCTTGGTTTACAAAAAGCTACTAAGCATCAGTGATCAAAGTAGTTTTGTTTTCTTCAAACAGAAACTCGGCTTGGAATGAAGAGGTAAATTCATTTACCCGTGATCATGAAGAGAGACAAAATGAGAGTCATTTACCTTATTAGCTATTGCAAGATTTTGGGAAACAATTCCCTACATGACAAGCAATGGAAAGTAACTAGAATCTACGTGCAAACTTCATTAGGACAATTTTTAAGGAACATTAGTTTATCTTAGGCCATTATCCGACAATTCGTTGGTCTGCTGAAGAACGTATCTTCATTCCAGCAAGGCCCTTGAAATCTGTGAAGTTACACGAGGAACAGGGATCCGCTCGAAAGGTGGTTATGCCCTTATCAGAGAAGCGACGATTTATGTACTCAATCAACATTGAAGACAGCAAATTTCATGATTCAATTAGAGCTATGAAAGTAAACAAAATCAAGATAATGATTTGGCAATTTGGGGAAAGTTTCGAGTGTTACTAGTGATTGATTTCTACGCAAGAAATTTTGCCAGCAAGTGCCAATTCATTGACCGTGTTACATTTACGAGTGCAGGTTAGCTTGGTGGAAATCTACTTCTGTACCCGAATCCATGTAATTTTTATTTATTTGTCTTACTTCCTCGCAATTTAAAGTGAGATTTCCTTTCTTGTAATTTTTTTACACTAACAATTTTGCGCGACCTTTCGACAATATCTATCGCCTATCGCATGGCAGAGGCTAGAATTTTCTACGTACTTTTTTTTTTTTTTTTTTTTTTTTTTTTCCCATTGCTTTATTTCTACCTAAAAAGTGTTTCAGAAAAGTCTGCATTAACAGTGATATATTGTGGAAAGTCGGCACGTACAAAGGTTAATCCGAGAGAATGGGTATTAATCAGGTCAATATGGCGTTAATTGGTTTTTCCTTATAAAAATAAAAAATAAACCACAAGCGAAAGTTTTGAAACGTTGCAATCAGCTATCACGTGTATTTCCTTGTTTTATTATCTATGTGTGGCCATCGACGGGGGAAAGAACCTTCGTTTACACAAACAAATTTTCAGTGGAAAAATTTAAAACCAGACAAATTTCATTGGCGCAGAGAGATAAATTTTGTGTCAAATAAAGTTTAATTCGGCGTAACGAGTAGCATCCTCGACGCAACAAACGAGTATTCTTTTCAGCGAAAAAAAAAAAAAAAAAAAAACCAATTAAAAAAACCAAATTAAAAAAAACGAAAATCAAGCGCGAGGAAATACTTTTCTTCGTTGAAATTAATCCATTTTTCCATCATGAAGAATGTATAGAAAGAGAAACACACTCGAAACGCGTCCATATTTCCACAATATTTTCATTTTCGGTAAGCAGTTCTTTGAGTTCTTAATTCAATTTTGTTAATTTTTTTTATCACTGGCATACTGTGAGAGACATTTACAAGTTACAAGCATTATATTTTTCAGCGTGCCGTGTGTGTGAAGAGCACGATTTGTGCTCCTGTTTGCCTCGCGACGGATTTCCAGCGATTTGCTCTCACGTCGTCAGCGACGACAGGGAGGAGATTAGAGAGCGCAGATGCACTTGCACGGAAAACAATCGCAGAATGCATTTTCCCGAGATTTCGTTTCTCGTCTCTTAATTCCCTGCCGTGTTGTTTCGAAGTTGCTGCGAACGCTGAGAAACGTATCACGTGAAGGATTTCCAAATAAGTTACAGCTCGATGCATCCCTTCCGCCATGTGATACCGATCTGATGAATGCATCCCTGGAGATTTCCTAAACTTAACGAGGAGCATACACAATCCGCTCGAATTTAATTTTGCTTCTTTTCTCTTTTAATTATATTATTACTTTTCAAAGTTAGATTCTCGTCTATATTTTAGCGCGACTGGGTGTACGAGAAATCAACCAAGGCCTTGCCTTGGGCGGAAATTTTCCGTCGTTCAAGTTAAAATTTCTAGGACTGAGAACAAATTTTTTTAGACTGTACCTCTCTACTTAACTATTTTCCCCGCCTTAAGAGCCTTCTTTTTTGCATTCGAGCAATTGAAAAATTCGAAATTTTAACTCTTACACGTTATTTTCCAAGGTGTAGCGTTGTCCAGACACAACTTCGCGAAACAACAGGCACAAAGAAAGGTTAACAACTTTGCTACAAAAGTGACAAGAGTTCAGTTCCGTAAACCCATCCCTGTTTGGACAAGGCCTTCCACTTGTAAAAAACGAACGAAAAATTTATGAAAGAACAAACATAAATGTGGTTAAACATTTTAACTTCCACCGCCGCGTCGACCGCACTGTATTGATGCAATGCGTGAAGTATTCATGCAGTCTTGTAGGCGCTATGCGTTTCACGCCGACCGCTACTGACCAGACTGGTTGGCGCAATGCGTGAAGTATTCATGCATTCTTGTAGGCGATATGCGTTTCAAGCCGACTACTGCTGAACGCAGTGTGTTTAACTCAGTGCGTGAAGTATCCATGCTGTCTTGTAGGCGCTAAGCGTTTTATGCCGACCGCCGCGCCGCTCCGTTCCAAGGTCAAATTGCATGTTTGGTTTCTCTCTTAACTCGACTAATTAAAGGTGTTGTCTCTTGTATCACCGCAAGACGACAGAAGTAGAAATTACTGTACTTTTACGCTCAGGAAATGAGAGATTTTGTCGCCTTTTCTCGTTTTTAATTTATTTTCTGAATCAGATTTTTCTCTCTCTCTTTTTGATACCTACTTTCAAGCTGATTGTAAAATTTGCCGCCCCCTAAATTTTGCTGCCATGGGACGCGGCCCATGTGGCCATCCCCTTAATCCGGCCCTGACCTGAACTGCATTCAGCGAATACAATTTCCTGGCTCATCTACTCATTCAAAGCTCTGATATGCATAAAATATACTCAGTGGTATTACGCTGTTTTTACAATGCGGAAAAATTCTTGGTTCCCTCACGTGTAAAGCAGTCTATCTGATGATGCAACTTCATCGACGTCTGTGAAATGTTTTTTGCCTATTCGGAGACCTGAAGGCGAACAGTATGCATCGTTCTGTAGAGCGTGATTTTAATAATAAATTAAATAATTTTTTTCGTCCCTAGGTATCACGAGTTCGATAGTTACACTATCACACAGTAATGATTGGTTTGCGCAGGTCTCACTTGTCTAAGTGGTCGTATTTTAAATTTCGAATTAAACCAGTTCCCATGAGTGATTCTGAAGTATCCTTATGCAGGACAAGTATCATTCTCCAATAATATATCTATCAAAGGTAGCTTAAAAACCTCGTCTTACGTTGAAAACGGAATCAGCTCTAATTTTGTCAACCGTTTTGGACTTGGTCATCATCTCATCTACTTATACTTTGGTTCCTACACTGGAAAAACAAACACATTGGATCTAGAGTCCAGACTCTGGAAAACATCGAAAAGAAAAAATACTCTTGATTCAATACGATTTAAGCTTAAATCAAGAACCAAGCCTCTTAATTTGAGCGGATTTCCTTTTGATTTAAGCTTAAATCTGATTGAATCAAGAGTCCTTTTTCTTGCCAATGTTTTCAAGAGTCTGGACTCTAGATTCAATGTGTTTTTTTCCCTAGTGTATCGTAGTTGCTCTATGAATAAGACCGAGTGTCGCATCAAATTGCAGAGAGACTCTTCCCTACGTTCCCTAGCACGTTGATGTTTCCCCTAGACTCTCTGTTTTTTGCAATGTTTGCTTTTTGCTAATATTTTTCCTGTTTTCTTTTGAAATTTTCCTGTCTCTCTGTTATCTCTAAAATTTCCCTTTTTTCTCTGAACAGTTTCCTGAAAAGATTTAGATCGCAATGCGCTACTATTTCCGGTACTCTGTCTAGATATCGTTAGACACACTAGTTACGTGCCATGCCAGTTCTGTTACGTAAGCCACGTACCAGTGGGTGCGAAAAGGAGAAAAACGGTGCGAAACTGCAAAAAGAGCGACCTCCAGAAGGGAGGAAACAGGAACGAAGTCAAACAGAGCGCCATAAAAGATAAGCCAGGAGCAGAAAGAGGCAGCGCAAATATACGTCTTTATTATACCCATTATTACTCTATTGATATCGATGGAAATATAAAGCGTACGTCTGGCCTGGCCCTCAGCTACGAACCCGGCGCTGCTCGCACGAGTCGAGTCTCATCTCGTTTTTTAAAGAAAACGAAACCTTATGTTTATACTACATTTATCGGGTTTTTATTATCGCTCGCACCAATTTTTCTCCTTCCGAAATGATCTCGCGAGTTTAATATCAAGAAATTGTTTGATATTGAACTCGCGATTGCCCTGCAGTTCGGGGTTGATGTATGAGTATGGGCCGTCCGTGAGCATCTCGCCCGTCTTTGCCGAAGGCTATTTTGTTCTTTTCAAGGGATTTTCCCTCGGGATTTTTCTGTTTGCTTCGATAATGCTGAGCTGGCGTTCGATTTTTTGTGTAATGATGAAAATGAGCGGGTAGACGAAAGAAAACCGTGGATTTAAATGAAAATGAGACTGATTATAGAGCTCTAGGCGAGGTAGACTCGCACTACAACACTCCGTTATAGGTTTTTTCTTAAAAACTTTCCATAAAAATATCCATTTAACTATGAATACGGAAATACATTTCTAAAAGAGGCAATTGAAAGAGGCGAATAAAAGAGTCTGTGCTATTAGGGCTTGTAGTTAAAGCTCCCCTGGTAAAAATTGGCGATAGGGGCTGCGTTTCAAAATACCATAGGAGTTCTTATAGCCGACTGAAGAGGGCGATAGAAAATCATATAGCTGACTGTAGAAAGTGGAAAAAATCATACGGCCAGGCTACACGAAGCGATAAAAAAGTATACAGCCGGGCTATAGTTCCTATCGCCGGGCTTTACACTTTA